CAGAATGGAAAAAGGAGAGATAATCTGGCACATATAGAGCTATTTAATCTTTGACAAAGGAGCAAAATACAAACCCTAGAGGAAAGATAGCCTCTTTAATAAATGGTGTGGGAAAACTGAATATCCACATGCAGAAGACTGAGTCTAGACCCACCTACTAACCTAAAATCAAAATGGATCAAAGAACTAAATGTTAAAACAGAAACAATCTTTCAATCTGTTGGAAGACAAAATAGGTACAATTCTTAAAGACATCAGGACTTGCTGAACAAAATCCCAATGGCAGAAAAAATGAACCTGAGAATCAGCAAAGGGTTCATATCAAATTAAAAAGCTCCTGCTCAGCAAAGAACAACCAACAAAATGCAGAAACAATGTACACAATGGAAAAAAATTTTGCCAGTTATTCCACGAACAGAGAACTAACATCAAGAATGTATAAAGAGAGGGCCGGCCAAATAGTTCAGCGGATTAAAACACCTGCTTAGCTAGATGTAGTGGCAGGGGTTCGATTTCTGGTCTACCCTGCCGGCCCTGCCCCTGGGGCACACTGAGATGGGCATGGTGGCACACGCCTGTAATCCCAGTGTGATTACACTCCTGTAATCTCGGGAGGCTGAACATAGGCAGATAACTACGAGTCCAATCTACATTGTGAGACCCTGTAGACCCTGTATTAAAACAAAACAAAAGAATATATAAAGAGGGCCGGCCAGATAGCTCAGCAGACTAAAGCACCTACTTAGGCAGGCACAATGACTGGGGTTCAATCCCTGTCGTGCAGTGTGGGCCCCGCACCCGGGCGCGCTGAGACGCAACCGACACTGGGCGTGGTAGCGCACCTTTATTCCCAGTGCTCAGGAGGCTGAAAACAAGAGGACCACGAAGAGTCTGATCTGTGTAGTGAAACCCAGTAGACACTGTATTAAGATACCAAAAAAAAACCCAAATATATATATATACATATATATATACACACACATATATATATATAATTTTGCCAACTACTCCATTGGCAAAGGACTAATAAAAAACATATAAAGAACTTTAAGGGCTTAAGCAAGATAGCTCAGAGGACTAAGCACCTGCCTGGCAAGTGCAGGGACTGGGGTCTGATCCCCAGCACCACATGCCATGCTGGACCCACCCCTGGGCACGCTAAGTAGGCCACAGAGACCGGGTGTGGTGGTGCACACCTGTAATTCCAGTGCTGGGGAGGCTGAAAACAGGAAGATCACTAGGAGTCAAGCTACATAGTGAGATCCTGTACCAATTTTTTTTTTTAAACAAACAAGACCCAATCAAAATGAATAGACACCTATTCTTAGAAGAAATATAAATGCCCAATAAGTATATGAAAAAAATGCTCATCATTGCTGACCATCAGAGCAATGTAAATTAAGCCACAGCAAGACACCATCTTACCAGAAAGAATGGCCTTCATCCAAATGAGGGATGGTGCCACCATTCTCAGTTTTAGCTGTAACATTATGAACTCCTTTGCCAATCCTGCTTTATCCATACCTCCTTACTTTATCTCTCTCTTACATTACTTTGAGGTAGATTCTAGATGTCTAGTCATTTCACTCATAATAACAATAACTAATGCTGGTGAAGATGTAGGGGAAAATGCACTGTTGGTATGAATGGAAACTAGTGTAATCACTGGAAATCAGGGTAGAAATTCACCAAAAAACTAAAAGTACAAATTCCATCTGACTCGGCCATCCCCTGTAAGGTATCTCCCCAAAGGAGTTAAAAGCACCATATTACAGGGATACATGCACAGCCATGTTTACAGCAGCATAATTTATAACAGGTACACCTCAGAAATAGCATGTGTCCCTCAACAGATGAACGGATAAGGGTAATGCATTTACACACAACGCAGTACGACTCTTATCACTAGAGGTTTCATAGGTGAATGGGTACAACCTGACAATATAACATTAAGTGAAGTCAGACACAGAAGCTCATATATACATAAACTCATATATCCCACGGTTTTCCTAATATGAGGAACACTATATGTAGTTTACACACACACACACACACACACACACATGCACGCACGCACGCACACGCACAAAGAACAAAATAGAAGAGATAGATAGGAAGTAAAGTTCAAGTACTTCCCCAAATAAAATATTCCATTTAAAAAATATTTTAAAGGGGCCGGGGAGATGGCTCAGTGGAATAAGCGCTTCTCTAGCAAGGGCAAGGGCCTGAGTTCAATCCCTGGTTCTGCCAAAAAATCAAAAAATAAAAAATAAAAAATATTTTAATATCTATGAAAATTTTCATTTATACTAATAGTTTTTCTTTTTTTGTTTTTAATTTTATTAATTTATTTATCTGTGTGTGTGGCCAGCTCAGCCCACCAGGGGACGGGGCTGGCTGGCATGTGGTGCTGGGGGATTGAACCGCGGTCCATGTGCATTGCTAAGCTTGTTCTAAGTAGGTGCTTTAGACCACTGAGCCATCTCACCAGCCCTATACTAATAGTTTTTCTTAGTTTGTTGAAAATTTGTTCTTTAATCTGTTTATTTCTGTTTTGCAAAAATCTTTTTGGTTTATGTCTTATACTGAATAACTACTTTGAAAATAATGATATGGTATAATAGCTATTTCTATTCCCTAATTATTTGGTTATGAAAATTTGGGTTTTTTCTTTTTCATAAAATAAAAAGATTTAGGGCCGGGGAGACGGCTCAGTAGAATAAGCGCTTGCCTGGCAAGCACAAGCGCCTGAGTTCAATCCCTGGTTCCACCAAGAAAAAAAAAAAAAGAAAAGAAAAAGATTTAAAAAGAAAAAGAAAAAAATGCTACATTGCCCAGGGTGGGCTTGAACTTGTGATCCTCTTGTTTCCGGCTTCCAGAATGTTGCTATTATAGGCCACCATTCCCAGTTTTAGCTGTAACATTATGAACTCCTTTGCCAATCCTGCTTTATCCATACCTCCTTACTTTATCTCTCCCTTACATTACTTTGATGTATATTCTAGATGTCTAGTCATTTCACTCATGAATATTCCAGTATGTCAAATGAACATGAAAAACTTCCACCTGTAAGATTCTGTTTCTGTAGGTCCAAAACACAAGAAAACTAAAAAGTCCATTGATATTCAAAGTGAATTACAAATTGTATTAGGTGTTAAAATAGTTTTTAAAAAAAATTTTTTAAAAACCAGTGAATTACCAGTTTAATCACAATTTTGTGATTTAACTTTTGCAGATTCACTGTTTTTGCATGTTTAAAAAAAATATCAACCTAAATTATGTATTGCAGATTTTACACTATTTCACAGGACTTTGTGGTACCACACAGTGCATGTATGTTGTTAAAATTATGCAGGTTTATGAGCTTAAAAAATGGTTAACAACATTAGAAGTGTTTTACAAAGTGTGGGAAAGATTTATAGGAGTGTGGGAAGAGTTTACAAAGCCTTAAAATATATGTAAATACTAAAATAAATATAACATCGCTGTTTGCTGATTTCTATTTATTGCAGGGGTGTCTGGAAGGTGCCCTCCGCAAGAAGTGAGACCCTGCACATTCACCATTTATTCAACTAGCTGTAGACAAATTAAGGCTGTTAGTATTTCAATGGTTTTGTTGTTTTAGTTTTATGGTGACATCTAGTGGATAAAAATGAGAACAGAAATTATAAGATTAAAAAGTATCTAATGTCATGGAGTTAGTTGTACAGGCCAAAGTTCCCAGGCCCAAAATAGCTAAATAACTGACTATTCTTCAGCACTTCATCTTCCTTTAAGGAAAAAAAAAAAAAAAAAACAACCCCCAAAACAGAATATAACCTGTGAGGCATGGGTGGGTGCGTAGCAGGTGGTGCTGGGGTAAAACCCAGAGCCTTCATACTTCAGCTAGAGCCCAGCATTTGTCTCCGTTTTTGAAACACAGTCTCAAAGTTGCCCAGACTGGGATCAAACCTGCAATCCTCCTTCCTCCCTTACCAGAGTGCTGATATTGTAGGCCTGTACCGCCACACCCAGCTCATTTAATTAAGCTCATATTTAATCTCATTTTTGGTTCTCTTTTATAAACTATCAATTAGAAAGTTTCTGCCACTTATTTCCCAAATATACAAAGCTAACTGCAGATTCTAACTTTTTAATTGTCTTATCTCAAAAATTCTCTTAAATTTATCATTCAACTCAGCTTTCCAATTCAAACTTTAGCACCTTTAAATAATTCTAAAGTACCTTACCAAAAATTATCTAAATCAGAAAACCATACTTACAAGCATTATCTTATCATTCCCCATTTTACAAAGGTTAAAAAAAAGAGATGACAGAACGAAGCTGAGCCAGCCACAGGGGCACACACCTACGGTCCAGCTATGTAGGAGAAAGAGGATCACAAGTTCAAGGTTGGTCTGAGCAACAGAATAATGAGATCCTGTTTCCAATAAAAAAGTAAAATTGCTGGGCACGGTCGCGCACACACACTGACACACACGTAACGCCAGCACTCTGGAGGCTGAGGCAGAAGGATCACCAGAAGCTCAAGGCCAGCCCGGACCACATAGAGAGTTCGGGATCACCCTGAACTACATAGTGAGACCCTATCTCAAAAACAAACAAAAAAGGCCAGATAGCTCAGCGGACTAAAGCGCCTGCTTAGGGAGAGTGGCCAGGTTCAGTCCCAAGGATGTCGCACCGGCCCCGCCCCGGGGCACGCTGAGATAGCGACTGAGACGGGGCGTGGTGGCGTGAGCCTGTAATTGCAGCACTAGGGAGGCTGAAAACAGGAGAATCACTATGAATCTGATCTCTGTAGTGAGACCCTGTAGACCCTGTACTAAATACACTTAACAAAGTAAGTGAAGTTTAATGTGGTAACTCTAATCCTGTTTTATGTATGTATATATGTGCATATGAAATAGGATTATATATGTATATATACATCAGAAATCTCATATTTGTAGTTTAAAGGATGAAAAAATCATAAACAAAGAGTAACTCAAATAGGTACTTACAGCCTGGGCTTGTTGTTGAAACAGCTCACTCTGATTTTCTCCATCTTCTATGGTATCCCCAAGCATCTGGGACGGAGGTAACCTAGAACTTCCAAAAGCAGCATTCAAATTGCTTGGAAAAACACTTGTCCTTTTAGGAGTTAAGTGTGCCGGGTCAAAAGATCGCACAGCTACAGCACCTTTTTCTGCCTACGCAAAGGAAAAACGACAATGAGATTTCATCCCAACTTAGTTCCACCGAATAATGCATCTAAAGCTAGACATGGTAGTCCACGCCTCTAATCCCAGAATCTGGGAGGCTGAAGAAGGAGGGTACCAAATTCAAACCCAATCTGAGCAGCAGCAAGACTCCTTGTCTTAAAGACAATATAAAAAGGGCTGACAATGTAGCTCACTGGAAAGGAACTGGGTTCACTCTCCAGTACTACAATAAAAATAATACTGCTAAGCAGCCAAAAGATTTCCCATTGGGGGAGGGGTTTCACTAGCAGAAGAACGAACATTTTACCAGGCACCCATGTATCAATAGCTTCTTTAGGTTTTCTCATCTAATTCTCACACAATTTTGTGAAGTATCGTAACCCTATTTTACAGATAAACTACAACTTCAAAAGTTAAGCACTGAACCCCAGGTCACATAGCTAGTGAATAACAAAATCAGAACTGAAACACAAACCTACACACAAAATTCTGCTATTTTTAACTATTTAGTGAACATAAAAAATTCAGTCAAGAGCCTAAGGATAAAATACGCTGTTTCTACATAAAAATCCACTGTGCTCACTGAAAATCTAATTATACAAAGTAGAGAATCAAAAGAAAGTGCTTCTGTTGCTGCCTGGTAGCTGACTTCCTAACACGCATACTTGCTCACTTACACTCTGACTCACTTTTGAACTTACTGCTTCATAAGACTTCTGAAGCTGTTGCTTTTTTCTCAGCCTAATTTGTTGATTGACACGGTGTTTGACTTGTCTCTGAAAATGTTTCAAAGCTTCTTCTTTTCTTTTTAATTGTTCCTTTAATTCTTCTTCAATTATACATGCTGAAGTCTTTAAATATAAAAGATAGAAAATGAACTTAAATGTCAGCAGTTTTGCCTTTAAGAATGTAAAAAGAAAAGTCAGGGATATGATTTTAAAAAGATAATTAAGTTTTATGATCCAAAATTAAGGAAATCATGAGTTCAGAACCAATGATCTAAACATGATTAACAAGCACCAAGAACTTAAACGAAACTGCAAAGTAAAAACTGAAATTTATTCAAATTATTTTTTAGTAAACTAAAACTAACTAAGGTGTCTTCCTTACTTCTTAATGAACCTAAACCCACTTCTGTTATACAGTTTCTAACTGTACATCAACATATAGATACAGCAGATTGATCACTACTTAGATAATCTACTTTTTTTTCTGCGGTACTGGGGATTGAACTCAGGACCTTACGCTTGCCAGGAAAGTGCTTATTCTACTGAGCTATCTCCCCAGCCCGACAATCTGCTATTAAAATGTCTTCTTACTTAAAATTATGTCCCATTTTAACTTAATGTGTCCTTCCTCTCATCTCCATCTAGTAAAGACCTATACAGATAGTGGCATACACCTATAATCACGGGACTCTGGGAGGCTCAGACAGAAAAATAACAAGTTCAAGCCCATCATAGACAACATGACCCTGACTCAAAATTTATAAAAATAAAAAAGGGGCTGGCCAAATAACTCAGTGGATTAAAACACCTGCTTAGGCAGACACAGGGGCTCGGAGTTCGATCCCTGGGCCTGCTGGGCCAGCCCAGCCCCCAGGGCACTGCACTGAGTGGGTGACTGAGACTGGGCGTGGTGGTGCATGCCTGTAATCCCAGCACTTGGGAGGCTATAAACAGGAGAATCACTGGGAGTCTGATCTACACAGTGAGACCGTGTAGACCCTGTCCTAAATACAAAAAAATAAATAAATAAAAAAGGGCTGAGGGCTGGGGATATAGCTCAGGGGCACAGTGCATGCCTGGCAAGCATGACTTCCAGTACCAAGGGGGTGGGGGGCTGAGAATGCACTTCAGCCCAAAAGCCCTGGGTTCAATCCTCAGAAATGCAAAACAAACACTATTACTCAGTCTTTAAGAGCATCAAATATCACACCAGTATCACAAATAGTACTGTCTTCCTCTGAGTGCTTATGCGATGGGAACTTCTATTTTACTAGTGTTACTGAATACAGCATTTATTAGCGCCAACATTATATTATAAACTTCGTTTCCACTATATCTTATGGTTTAGAACCTTGACTTTAAAGGTACTAAATATTTATGCTCAATTCCACAACATATTCTAAACCATCTAGAACATTCTATCACATTTGAGCTCCTAACGTGCATTCACCTCCACAGTAACCAAAATAACAGCAGTTATCACTTTTAACGCTCTAGTGTATGATAAGCGCCTTATATCATTCTAGCCTCAAAACCACCTTCCCATTGCAGGAAATTGGGGTTCAGAAAGATAAAAGTCAGTAGCAGCCCAAGGTCCTATAGCTGGCTAGGATCAGAACTACAAGTTTGTCCTATTCCAACACTTATGGTTTGTACTGTACTGCTTTTCTGTTGAGTATGTCTTTCCTTCAGAAGGAATGTTCAAATTACAGTAACTCATCATCAGAATTTCTCCCTGAATGCCTCTCCCCCAAATCTTTTGTTTCTGTTTGTTTTTCCAGTACTGGAGATGAGCCCAGAGAGTGCGGAGTGATACTCTCAGCCTTTTTAATTGTTTATATTTTGAGATAGAATCTAAGTTGCCCAGGCTGGCCTCCAACTGGCAATCTTCCTTAGTCGCCTCAGTAGCTGGGATTACAGACGTGTACCTACCACCACATCAGGCCGAATACTTTTACTAACAGAATAATTTCAATTTCTCAATCTCAAGGGTACTGCAGAATACTTTATAGGCTGTAGTAAAATTGTTTTTAGAAGATATTTTTTATTAATACATGTTTTCAATACATAATGAATACATTTATCATGGTAGTAAATATACATGCTGCATTTTAATCCTTTTTATTTCCTTTCCACTCCCTTTTCTACCCTCTCCCTCCATTCCTAGATTCTATTCTTTTTTTTTTTTTTTTTTGGTACTGGGGATTGAACTCGGGAACTTGTGCTTGCCAGGCAGGTACCTATACCACTGAGCTATATCTCTGGCCCCCTAGATCCTATTTTTTTTTTTTTTTCTTCTGTATTTTAGGGAAGGGTCTATAGGATGTTCAGGGTCTCACTACTAGATTGGACTCATAGTGATTCTCCTGTTTACAGCCTCCCAAGTGCTGGGATTACAGGCACATGCCACCAAGCCCAGTCTCAATTCCCATCTCAGCGCACCCGGGGTGGGGGCGGGGCCAGAACGGCAGGCACGGGGATGGCACCCCTAGCCCCTGCGCCTGCTTGCAGGGGTTTTAATCTGCTGAGCTATTTGGGCGGCCCTCATAGATCCTATTCTTAACTGCAAAGAATAAAAATACCTGCTTGTTTCTATCACCTGTCATTTTGCTGTCATGATTTTTTTTTTTTCCAGTATGAGCAATCAAACTCAGGACCTTGTACTTGCCAGGCAGGCGCTTATGCCCCTGAACTATATCCCTGGCCCTCTGTCATGAAATTCTTAAAACAAAATTCATTTAAAATTTCCAAATCAATCCTATAAGTTATTCTATGTGAATAGGATTCATGGGACTGCTATAGACAACCCAAATAGCCAAGAACAATTAGGCAAAGTGAATCTAAAGAGATATAGGTGATACAGCCTGAACAGCTAACCCAAATCAACTCAAGTCCTCCACATTTAAGTCATTCGTCCTGTTTCATTTACTCCCATTTTCTCCACCTGCCCTTCTTTTATGCCCACATTGATTATCAAACATTTTACTGAAGTTCATGACTTATTACAGATTGGAATCTCAACTGTAAACTAGAAATAAGAGTATGCCAGCAATTACAACACCAGTTTTCTTAGCAAACACCATTGAGCAAGACAACCAAAACCGAGAACACTCATTCTGTCAGACGTTAAAAGGCTCCTAAGAGTTAAATAAATTTCAGAAAAAGTATATTAGACAAAGAATATATTTTGGATAATTTACATGTAAAGGAACTGATCCTTAGATTACATAGTAGCTATTGTCCAAAGATGATTTCTTCTACCCCTCTCAGTAAATCCAGCCTGGTACTCATGCTCTTGTGTAGCCTACTCCTGCAATGATTTGATCTGAATCTGCGCATCCCCACTAAATGAACAGGAAGTGTTGGCACCGTGACTTCCCCAGCAAAGTCATAAAGCATCTTCTCTCTGGGGCTCTTGGAGTGCTCACTCTGCGAGAAGCCAGCACCACATAAGAATTCTGACTACCTGGGATTACTGTGCTGTGAGGAGGTACAACCAAGCCAAACAGGTCATGTGGCTCAAACCTCCTACCACTCCAGTCATCCTAGCCCAAGTGCCAGATGTGTGAGTGAGAAAGACACAACAGCCTCTCAAATGCCACATGGAAATGAACCACGGAATCCAACAACAGCCAGAACCCAGTCAAACTATCTAAGCCTCAGCTGGGAACCCAGACACTGTGAAGCAGAAACAAGCCATCCTCACTACACCCTGCTGCAATTCCTTTATTTGCTTTATACCACGAGGTTCCAGTGTGGTTTGTGACACAGCAAAAGATAACCACAAAAAATAACAAAATAGTGCGATAACCATACATATACAACAGAATAGCAGTGTCTTTTGATGCTGATTTAATTACTGTAGACAAATGCAGATCTAAAGCTATGACTCTTAGGAATTCTAATGGACCCCAAAATCTTTGGGATTAAAAAAAAGTTCCCCTTTAAGCTGGGCATGGTGGCACACACCTGTAATTCCAGTACTCAGGAGGCTGAGGCAAGAGGACTGTTGAGAGTTCAAGGCCAGGGTGGGCTACAAAATGAGGCCAAGGCCAACTTAAACCCCATATCAAGATCTTGTCTCAAAAAAAGTTCCCCTTGAGAATTGACATGATCTTAGGGTAATAAATCTTTAGCAGTAACTATTTACATCTACTCTGAGCTGACGGATGTTATGCCTCTTTGTAAGGGTGGATCCCCAGACTAAATAAACTAAAGTAATAAAAAGTTTTATTAGATGTTCGATCAAACTTCCTTTGGCTGAAAATGATCAAAAATTAAATGAAGAAGACATGTTTACAGATGTTCTAAGGCTAATATTTTGAGTATGTGGGAACTTAAAAGAGTCAAGTCTTTTTAACAAAGAAAAAAGCTCAGCAAGTCAAACTTAGGCAATTTGATGTTAATGATGTTATAAAGATGTCATAATCTAAATAATTTTTAAAATATCTTAAACTGGTGACACAGGCTTTGATCTCAGCATGCTGGAGACAGCAGCAGGAGGATCACTTCAAGTTCAAGGTTAGCCTGGGCTACCTAATGAGTTTAAAACTAGACTATCACTCAAAACAAGACTCTCTCTCAAAAACAGTATTAATGACTAAGTAACAAAGGACTTCTCACTAAATCTTACTGATTCTTCAAGCAGTTCCCTTGCACTTATCTCATATCTCTGTACTAACTGGTCTATGAGAATCATACCATGGAAACATGTCCATATGTAAACTCTGTAAAAGTTGCCCTTCAGCTGAAAAACTCCTCCCTAATACGGGTATTTATCGCATTTCCATTTTTTCCAGGCCAACACACCATATTCCTTTCATTCATTCAACAAACACTTCCAGAATACCTACTACATGGCAGGGAAAAAATGAGAAGCAAAGGTTCCTGTCTTTGTGGAACATATATTTAACAGTTTTAGGATTAATCTCTCCCTCCTAAAGGAGGAATAAACTCTCTTACTCCATTTTGCCTAAATCGCTCTTACAAAACTTATCACAAGCATTAAGCAACTAACGTCCTTCAAGTGTGGCCAACTGTCATCCTCGCCAAGCGCAAGAGTTAAGTGTGCGATGCAGACAGCATCCATGTTCTGTGCACAGCAAGCTATCAAGTTCGTGCAGCAACTTCACAAATATCTTAGCCTGTATGTTATAGTCTGTATATATAGGAGGTGAGCAGCAACTATTTAAGTGACTTGATCATGCCCAAGCAAAGCTGCAGCAAGTTTTGGCAAACACATGTTTGTTCTATAATCCCAATGCAAGAACTGTATTTATAACGGAAAGAAACAGTATCCTCTAACTGTTCATCATTTTGCATCAAAAACTGAAGGGTAATAAAAGGGACTGAGGGTGTCCCCGCATTTGAATCAAACTGACACTCACATATGCTGGGATTTCAGAGCCGTCTGGTGAGGCAGGTTCCACCCATGCCCCAACTGGCACGACGGCCTGGTTCCTCTCCGCCAGCACTGCCAATACGTCCTTGCTCTTCCTGGGGTTTAATGCCAGGGGCAACTCTGTCATATTGCGATGCTTCCTGAGGGGGCACATATGTCCAGGCATCTGTGACTCCTAGTTAGGAAAAAAGGAAAACCTTAAAAATCTTCAAATGACCGCATTAAAAGCTCTAATCTTTTAACACAGTAAGCCATGAGCGTGTGGAAAAGCCCCACAACAAGCAGAAAAACCTGGTAAGGATCAGAAAAACAGGAATTCTGGAGAAAGAAGGCAGAAATGAATGAAGACAAATTGGAAGAAATAAAGACAAAAGGAAAGGTTTTTTAAAAGCCTTCTAGAAGACATGGGAATGTGGGAAAAGAAACCAGGATCGGATTGGGAGAACGAAGATTGCGCCCAGCGCCAGAAAGTACCAGGCTGACCTGGGTCTGAGACCGAGTTCAAACACGTCCTGTGGTCGGTACGTAAAGGAGAAGCGCCCAACCGAGGGTAGTTCCAGACCAGACAAAAGCCTGCTTCTGAAGCTAGGACGGCACTGGCTAGGTATCGGGAGCGGCCCTCCACAGAATCACACGGTCCGGGACACTAAAAAAATCATCTCGAACTAACCGCCTCTCAGGTGCCCCACGCCACTCCGCCCCTCCGGCGCCTTGTGCCCGCCTCTTCCGGGCTTCCCTCACGTCCATTGGGCTAGAAAGGCTTGGGAGGCGGGGTTTTCGAGCGTGTTAACGTCACTTCCGCTTCCTGACGGGGCGGGAATTGGCGGGCCTAGCAGCTACCAGGTGACGTGCTGGTGCGGGCGGTGCCAGATAAACTCTTCTGGAGCTGCGGAGAAGGTGGCATCGTGCTACATCCTCCAAGAAAGGGACTCGTTGGCTCAGTGATCCGACTGACTGTGTGGGCAAGGGACCCCACTTGAGGAAAGGCTGACAAAATGATAGAAAAAAGGGTCCACAGGTCTTCACCGATTAAACCAACAGTAAATCCTGTGTTTATGCCGCTCTCAACGCTGTCTCAGCCCTGTTCTACTTGAACACTGTAGCTTCATACAGGGTCTCCCTGGTCCAAGCTCTGTTGCAGGCTAGAGACACCACATTATTCCTATTGGAGATCCAGACATTGAATATTATTGCAAGCTTTCTATAGACCAGGACTCTTGTAAGCACCGGAGATAAATAGCAGTGCACGAAACAAATAATATCCTTCGTTTGGGGAATTTGCAATATAGTCACAGGGCTAAGCAAATAAACACGTAAGTAAATGTGTCTGGTCTCGATGAGTGCTATGTTCAGCGTACTAAGTGCCTGCTTTGGCAAGCACAGGGGCCAGGGTTCGTTCCTCGGTCCTGCGTGTCCTGCATGTCGTGCCTGGCGCGCAGAGCCGGCACTGCCAGTAATCCCAGCGCTGGAGAGGCTGAAAACAGAAGGATCACCGCGAGTCCCATCTGCGCAGTGAGACTCTGTACCAAATCAGTCCATTCAATCAACCAACCAACCAACTAACCAGAAAGGACTGGGAATATGTGTGTGAGTGGCGGTAAACGTTAGGATATTCAGAGACGGCTTCACTAAGTACTTAGAAGCAGTGCCTTAAATGAGAGAGTGGAACAAGGAAGGATAGTCTTCCAGGGAGAGTTTTATAAGTGTGTACCAGGCAGAACGGCAAGCAGAAGTGCCCAAGGTAAGAGCATTGCCTGGGTGAGAAACAACAAGGAAACTCACATGGTACAAGTGGAGCAGAGTTAAAGGGGAAACGCAGAGATAGGAGGTCAAAATTTGAGGCATGGGCAGTCATACAGAGTATTTTAAGCCACCAGAATGTGCTCCAATGGGGTCTACTTCAGGACTTTGAGCAGAGAACATTCATAATGTGACTTTTAAAAAAATTTAGGATGCTGTCTTGAGAATAGACAGGAGTGGTTACAGCATGAATAAAACCAATTAGGAAGCCAGATGTGAAGCACATCTAATCCCAGGGTTAGGGAGGCTGAAGCTGGAGGACTGGCTTTAAGTTTGAGACCTACCTGGCCTACATGGGGAGTTCAAGGCGAGCTTGAATAAAATAAAAGACTGTCGCAAAATTAATAAATAACCAATTAGGAGGCTACTGGAATACTTGATAGGGGATTGTGATATCTCGGATCACAGGCGTAGTTGATGGAGATAGAGAGGATTGATTGGATTCTGGAATATTTGGAAGGCAAAACTTTTGATATCTGTTGTAGATACAATATGGATTGTGGTGTTGTGTATGAAAAAGAGAGGAGCCAAGAAAACCTTCACATTTTAAACAATCAACAGGATGGGATTACTGTTTACTGAGGTGGTGAGAGAGTAGGTTTATGAGGGTGAAAATTAAAAGTTCATTTTGGTACTGATTACATTTTATTTAATTCAAGAAAATGAATATGATAAAAGTTCCTGGAAGAGAGTTCTGGGCTAACTTTATAAATCTGAGAATGATTAGCTTATAGATTTAAAATCATCCAATTGGATGGAATAATCAAGGAGTTGAATAGAGAGAGTAAGCAAATAGGTCCCAAGATGAGGGCAGGCCATTCCAACATTACAGAGTTTGAAAAGAGGTGACTGCACCGAAATTGGGAAGGTCAGCCGGTAAGCTAAGGAGCATAAACACGAGTGTGTGGGACTTTAGAGGCAGATGAAAAAAATATTCCTTTGAGGAAGATGGACCACCTTTGCTAAAAATCATGATATAAGGCAAATAAGATGAGGACTGAGAATTGAGTATTCTATTTAGCAATGTGGAGATCATTAATCACTTTAAAAAGAGCAGGGTCTTTCGAATAGTTAAGGAGGAAAAGCCTGATGGAGTAGATGTAAGAAGAGGAGTGGAGGTAACAATTTTAAACAACCTTTTTAATGAATTTATTTATTTTATCTTAATTTTTGTTTTGTCAGTACATATTGCAGAACATAATGGTTACATTCATCATGGATACCTGGAGAAAATACATAACCTACCTTTATCTGTTTTACTATGTCCTTCCCCACACCCCTCTCTTTCCTCCTTCCATCTCTTGATCCTCTTCCTATTTGCAAAATAAGTGAGTTTATTTTAAGAGGACACACAGAAATGAGTATTGAAAAGGAGAAGTCGAGTCAAGGGAGAATTGTTTAAGGTCACAGCCAGCCATGCACAGTGGCATGCATCTATAATGCCAGCTATTTGGGAGGGCAAGGCAAGAAGATCACAAATTAGTGGCCACTCTGAGGAGCTTAGGGAGATTTTTGTCTGAAAATAAAAAGAGCTAGAGATGTAGCTCAGAGGTAGAAAGTTCCTACCTTCCATCCCCAGTACTCAGGAAAAAAGGAAAGAAGAAAAAAAGGAAGAGAGGCAGAAAGAAAAAGAAGGAGAAAAAAATCACAGTGCATTTATTGTTGGTGAGACTTAGCTAACAGGGGAAAGCTGATGATGTGTGAGAAAGACAGGAGAATCTGGGGCTCCAGGTCCTTCAGTGAATAGCAGGGAATGGGATCTAGTGAACAAGTGGAGGCACTGGCTCTAAATAGTTCACAAGGTTAATTCATTATGTCATCAGCCCAGCAGTTAGTTATGCTGATCACTGAGTAATATAGTGGTTAGATTTAGAGCTTAGGGAAGTCTCTTCTGATTTCTTTGTTTTCCTTGTAAAATGATACTGTAGTCAGTTTCCAAGGTGGCCCCAATGATTCCTATCTCCTAGAGTTCCATTTTTGTGTACGCCCCTCCCACACCGTACCTGGGTTGATCTGTGTGACCGCTAGACTATTAGAGGGATGGCATGTCATTTTAGAGACATTGTAAAGACATTGTGTCCTCCCTGCCACCATCACCTCATTTGCCTTTGCTCTCATTCTTTCTCCCTCAGGTCCCCTACTCTGGGGGAAGGCATAGATGTCATGAACAATCCTACAGTGAGGCTACATGGCAGCTCACTGAAGCTCCTGGCCCGCAGCCCTCTGCATGAATTTGGAAGTCTGTCATACAGTCCTAATCCATTCTTCAGGGATCATATTCTTTTTTTTTTTTTTTTTTTTTGGCAGAACCGGGAATTAAACTCAGGCCCTTGCGCTTGCCAGGGAAGCGCTTATTCCACTGAGCCATCTCCCCGGCCCCAGGGATCATATTCTTGCTCAACAACTTGATGCCACCTCATAAAAGCCCGAACCAGCCAGGCACAGATGTACATGAATACAGTCTAGCTCATGAGGAAGCTGAGGCAAGCGGTTCACAAATTCAACAGCAGCATGGGAAATTTGGCAAGGCTCTCTCTCAAAATAAATTCTTTCAAAAGGTTGGAAATGTAGATCAGTGAGAGAACACTTGCCTTGCATGTGCCAGACCCTAGATTGAACCCCCCATACCACAAACAAACACCCTCAGCAAGGCACCCAACTAGAAATTGTATGAAATATTGTTTGTTTGTGTGGTATCACCATGTGGTATAGGGTTTCTCTATGTGGTTCAGGCTGGCCTTGAACCTACAATGTAGTTCATGCTGGCTTCAAACTCTCTGATCCTCCTGCCTCAACCTCCCAAGGGCTAGAATTACAGATGTGTGTACCATGTCTATCTCAATGCTAGTTAAATTTTGATTTTCCAGGCCTGGCCCGATAGCTCAGTGGTCTAAAGTGCCTGCATAGGCAGATGCAGGGACTGGGGTTAGATCCCCCGAGGAACACTGAGATGGTGATTGAGACTGGGCGTGGTGGCACAAGCCTGCAATCCTAGTGCTTGGGAGGCTGAAAACAGGAGAATCACTATGAGTCAAATCTACATAGTGAGACCCTATAAACCCTGTACTAAATACATTTTTAAAAATTTGGTTTTCTGGGACCGGGGAGATAGCTCAGTAGAATAAGTGCTTCCCTGGCAAGGGCAAGAGCCTGAGTTCAATCCCCGGTTCTGAGAAAAAAAAAAAATGATTTACCATCCACTTCATTACTGTAATCATGCAATTAAAGAAAATATTCAGCCATATTGGCTTCCCTTACTTTAAATTCATGGCCACCAGTGAAGGAGACAGGTCTTTGGTGTCATCTAGTAATCATACATGTCTTTAAGTTACACTTCCTCTTCTCTGGAAAACAGATACTTTATACTCAAGACTTAAACTTCTTTTTTCTGTGAAGTTTATTCAGCTCAGTTTTCTTGTTCTATTGTATTCAGTTCACTTAGCTCATAATTTAGAAGGCTGAAGATCTAAACAGTTTGGTGCAGGCTCTGGAAAGGACCTCCCCAGCCGCATCACGCCATGGTAGGAGTGCACGTGGAATGAGTCCCACAGTGAGAGAAAAAACCAGAAAACATGGCAGGGTCCAGCTTCCTCTTATATAACACATCATCCTGCTAGGAATGACCCGTATCTCCTCCAAGGGCAATGCTCCCCATGGCCTGATCATCATTCACCGGGGTGGACCTCTTAAAAGTGTCATCAGCTCTGACATTACCAGGGTCCAAGCTTCCAACACATGAACTCTGCACAGACAAACGATACCCAAAGCTTGACAGTAGAAAACAATGTTAAGGAAGACAAATGGGAAGTAAAGAACAGTGAAAAGTCGGCGAAGTCAAGAGATTTTAGGTTCCAGTGGAAGTCTTTGTGTTAGAGTAAGAT